CTCCTGAGTGGCCCCAGTCATGAGGTTCCTGCAGCATAATCATGAGCCCGCGGAGTTTGACCTTCAGAACACCCACAAGTTTGTGGGTCTTGGATTTGAAAGCGGCCTGTCCATCGGCCCACACTCTCGACTCATTGATGCCCTTTTGCGCATCCTTGCTAGTGATCGCGGAACAAACCACCACTGCCAGGAGAACACATTTTTTGTCCCAAGGATTCAACTCAAAAGATGACTCAGAATAGGTTGTAGCCTTCAAGTACGAGTATGAGTCTCCTTCCCTTCGCCACCTCCGCCTCTTTCAGAGATCCCAGTGGCTCGCTGCGCTGGACCTGTTCTGCAAGGCGTCGACAGGCCACGACCACGTCTGAACGGCCTCCATAGCTCAAACAAACGTTCAGCGTAAGCCCCGTGCAGGAGGAGGACAACTCCTGCGTGGTTTGGCGGACCAATGCTTCAGGGCCACACAGGCGCCCTGCTCGGGTATGTCGAAGTGGGCAGCTAAAACTTGGAAAGGACGAGCCCACAACGCTGCATGGACTTTCAAAGTGAAATCCAAAAAGGAGTCAGAAGCCTATTGATTACATCTCCATTCCAAACCCACCCCAATAATGTTGTGATGACTCATATTTGCTCAGAACAAACATGTCTACTGATGTCTAGTCTATACATGTATAATATATCCTATATTAATTATATATATATCCACCGACAATACTGCGGGATCCTTTTCTCCAGAATTTGAACTCAAAATCTCTCTGACTCTCTGTGAACCCTCTACTTGCCAATCCAACAAACAGTTTGCTCTCTGGATCCTAAGCATAGGTTGCAGCCTGTTGTATCTCATCCGTTCTCATCCAATTCCGCCCGAAAATCAAACCAATCCCATTCCTAGATCATGTATAGATTATTTTTTTTGCAGACTTGCCAAATTATTTGATAAACTATCTAAAGATACTATATATACTGTATATATTATGCTATGTGCATAAACTTATCATGCCAATCATATGAATCGCCCTGCAGGTCACTCCTCCAGCTCGGCCACCGCCTCCCGCACCTCCGACGGCAGCTGCTGGGCATCGCTGGTGAGGAAGCGCACGCGACAGTTGTGGCGCATAGCGTGGTCGCCCAAGCGAGGGACCTCCTTGGCGACGGGGGACATTTTCGAGTACAGCTGAGTCCAACACCATCTGTACCTTGGAGTCACCATCCACATGTTTTGTCATGTTTTCAGTGTCCTTTAAAGTCTTTTGTGTCTTCAAAGCCTCCAGAACAGACCTGTAGAACTGAGTGCTGATGGGACAACTCAGAAATTCGTCACCAGGCCAAAGCGATTAAGACAGGTGCTAGCCTAACAACATTCACCAAATAGGGTCATGGAATGTCATGGATACGGATTCGAAGGTCACAAAGCCAAATATAGGAGTTTTCACTCTCGCACTCGAGACCAAGTGAGTGGCTCAAATGTGTTGAATAGTTGGGTTGGGGACTCATTACAGAGATCACCGGAAGGATTGGGCCGGCAAGAAAACGGTGTGACGTCACACACGTCTCAAAAAGTCCCATGCGCCCCGTTAACGGACTGGTTTCCTTTGTCTCGGCGGTCTAACGGCACACAATTGGACATCTATAGTTTGTTTAGTTAAAGTATTGCTGATCGTTGTAGCTTGATTTGTTTTGGGGGGCATGGGATTTTTCATGATGAGATTGTGACCAAACCTTTCAGCCCAAGTCACTGATAAAAAGAGATCCATCATGGCCTGGCATGAAACCGTTGGTGGATATATGCGTCAATGGTTGGCGGAGAATATCAGATTGGTGAGATTAAAACAATAGAAATCCAGAATGCCTAGAGTCTCCGAAATCAACACAAATGGATACACATGCATTGAGATTGCTGAGACAATGGTGTGTTGAGACTCCAAGTGTTATGGAAGCAATCCAAACATAATAAGCCCGAGTGTGTCCACTGCTTGCTAGAAGCCAAAGAAGGGGACTGCTAGCAGTGAAGAAGCCAAACAATTCCAAGCCCCCAGGGCCTAGGACACGGCTTGTGCCCTAGAATTGAGACAAATATCTGGAAATCTCCCACTATGTGTAAGCCGTATCTCCTTTTGGCCTCCTTTGGTGGGTTTATCCAAATGCTTTTGGACGCCAAAGTACTCCTAACCTCCCCATGTGTTTTCGCCAGGAAGACATCTGTGCCAGACTCGTCTGACCATGAAAGTAGCATCTCAGAGGGCTTCTATAGAAAGTTCCCATTGAGCATGGATGGCCAACCCATGGCCCGTCATGGCCCTGGGCGCATCTGCGAAACGCACAGACGCCTGGACCTCTTGAGGGTCACGTTTCCAGTTCTCCGTGGAAAAGGCAAAGACCGTCAAGAACTCCTGAGGGGTGAGTTCGCGAGACTTCCATGGGTTCCTACATGTTCCCACCTTGTGAACCATGTCGTGTTAGGGGATGATCATAGAAGCATCATGTACTGGAAGCTACCCTTTCATTGAGATTTTGTAAGCATGTTGTTGCTTGGCACCTTCAGCTGATTTGTGTTGCCCTCACTAAAGAAGTGAACGGGCAAATTCTGAAATAAGCCTTGAACATATTATAACATGTATAGCTAGAGTTTGATTGAAGCCTTGCGGTTCTTCCTTTTGAACAGTTTAGCTTTTCAGGTGTCTTGTTGGAAATTCATGAGTGTTGGCAATCAGTGTAGAAACACAATGACTGTGGTCGAGACTCGACTCCCAGCTCGGAACACCAAAGGATGAATTCCCTCAGCTTCTCCCCGCCCGCGCGATGACCACTCAAGGAATCGCCATACATCCTGAGACAGGCATACAAAACCAAACACCGCAGGCAGAACAAGCGGCAAAAGGACATGTTTGATGCCGCGATCACATGACCGAACACCAAAGTTGTGAAACGCAGCGAGTCCAGGGCTCCTCTGAGATTTGTAGAGGAACAAAGTGAAGTATGCTAGCGTGGTGGAACTGGGGTCAAATTCACGTCAATTTGCTATTTGACAGCATGATGGCTAGACTTCTGGGGAACAATTAAAGTATGAACTATACGAACTTTCACATCCTTGGACAAACCGGATAACTTACTGAGCAGCAGGAAGAACACAACCTTTATGTCACTCATCACTACCGGTACTGGACATGGCTATCCAAAGCTTAGAAGAGGCACGCTATGGCTGCTATGGGTGGTGGCAACCATCTTCCAAAACCGTTGCTGTAAAGAGCGGGGCCGTTAGATGATGTGGATCAAAGCGGAATGGCTATGTAACAGTGCCTAACACATGATGCATTCTTCTTGAACCATGGAGAGCAGCCAGCTTTGCGGGGCCACCAACATCATCTACCTCGAAGAATGCACAAGTTTTAAGGAATCAAGGACTGGTTTTGGCAAGTTTGTATGGAGTGAAGTGCTTTTTAAACACTAATTGACCTGAAAGAACGAACACCTTGCAAGTTTCTACCAGTAGTAACAAGAAGCTATTAGAAACAAGTGCATCGCTTCTAGTAACAAGTGCATCGTCTCTACTTGATCAGCGTAACAGTGACTACTCCAGTGTTTCATTCATTGAAGCTACCACCTTCGCCCGACCAAGGTGCTGTCGGCCAAATCGCCGATTCCCGTCCATGATCACTGCCACATGCCGTGGTGGATGAGCGCCAAGCGACATGGAAATGTCCTCTGCTTTCCTTGGATGGTCCAGCATTGAGTTCGTGACTGACAAAGAGGCAGCTGGTGAACTGATGTAAGGCTTGAATTGGGTAGTTGTCTTCGCTAAAGTGCCAGCGAAAACCCGTGCAGGCAAGGATCAAGGCTCGATAGAAAACCATGAACAGGGACGTGTGCACATGTGTCATTGTGAAACGGACAAGTTTTGTACAAGTTCTCCTGTACCACATGATCAAGAGACACAAGAGTACCCAATCCAGTGGGGCTGCATAACACAATGGGTAAGTGTCCCAACTTCCTCTCTGACATCAGAAATCGCCGTTGGGTTTTCTGTGTCTTAAAATGGCAAACCCCGCTCCAAAAAGTGTTTGTTCGCTCGTCATGAAGGTCCAGCAAAAGAAACAACTTGTTGGTCCTCCAAGTCTCTCTGTACGAAAGACTCCCAGATCAGCACCAATGGCGCGAAGCGCGGCTACCACAGCCCAGCCACCTCCCGCCGCACCCACCGCACGAAGCGCAGCTTGAAAAGCATACCACAGGCGCAAACACGCGCCATACAAAGCGCGAAAGTAGGACATGGCAGCCATGACTTTGAAAGTGAGTGAACAAGCAAAGCTCGTGGTTTGCTTCTCTGTGTTGCGATGTGTTTAGTGACTTAGTGGATACTGCATAAGTGATGAGTCAATCCAAGCCTTTCGGAGGCGCCCCATGGAGACCTCCAATCTGCTTTTAAAACGGTTTGTCATGATTTGTCAGTGATCAACAACCTCGCCTTTTCAGCTGTACTGGCAAAGATCTGGAAACGGCGGCATGACTGTACTCGGTGTGACGCGTAAAGTTTACCCAGTATGCCATTAAACATCTGTGCGATATTATATATATATATACATGCAGTAAACAAACATAACATCAGGTTGAGAACACACATACCAAATATTGGGAGGTCTAATCTAAGCAGCATTCATCAGTGACCTAGACATATCCCCCAACGGTCCCAATCGGTACTTCCGCTCCGCAACAAAGTGGGAATGATGGATCCTGTCTGTCATCACATACAAGGAGTGGATCAACATGACGCCCAATGACAAGGTTCTTTGACAGGGCAATCATGTCTGAGACCTGCGGCCCGGAACCCCAGTGCAAACCACAAAAAGAACTCATCCAACAGATTAAAGATTTAACTGGTTGGGGCCAAGTTGCGGCTGGGGATTTATAATGATTTATATAGTTGATAGATCTTGATCCACGCCCACCACTCTAGCTCTGGTCCCACAAGCAGGTATTGGGCTGGTGGCCGTGGAGCTCCCTGCCTCACATTCTCAAAGTGAATGTCGTGCTGCATGTGACACCTCCCGGGCGGTGCTGAGAGAGGAGGCAGCTCTGGTCGGTTCCGACCATATCGAAGGATCCTCATAGCGATAGCCTCCAACCTAAATAGAAACAATAAGCTACTAGGAACAAGTGCATCGCTACTAGTAACAAGTGCCTTACTAGTAGTAACAAGAAGCTAGTAGAAACAATAATTTAGAAGCGATGGATCCTCAGATTTTCTTGGTGAATTTGAAGCTGTTCAAGCACCCTCTGCTCGCTCTCAGTCGGGGAACCGGATCGCCTCACCGCAGTGGATGACTGCTGAAGGACCGCCGTGCAGTTGTCACAGAAGTCACACCTGCCAGGGCTCGACCTGGGTGTGGTTTGTTCCCCAATTGAGCATGATACTGGCTGTGCACTGGAATGTGAGTATTTTAGTCAATGTTGCCTCTCTAAAGATCCATCGGTCTCCCGAATTCCATACACACCCTGTCTTATGAACACAAATGTGGGGATTGTAGCAGTTACAAGCCTTCAGTCCCTGCAAAGTGGGACCGTAAACAGTTGTGATAAGAGTGAAGATCTCAGTCACAACTCTGGGAAACCTTTATGTCCCGGGGCAACTCTTTGAAAGTTGACAGGAACATCTCCTCATTGCCTCCTGGTCGTGGATGGGATATGATTGGATAACCTTTGGTGAAATCGTAGGAATCTCACTACATTGGCTATACTGGCATTGAAGGAATCCTGTCACCAACATCCCCAACCATTTCAAACAGTAGGATCATCCTTTGAATCTCAATCATCTAACACCTCTGGCCCGTTCGAGAAGACCTTGTCCTTTCCATCCAGAAGTTCCCGACTGCAAGGGGGCCTTGCGTTTCCAGATTGAACTGGGTGTTCCGGTTAAGTTCCCTAAAAACTTCCAAGGGCGTCATCTGTACCTCACAACTTTGTCGATTGAACAGGCGCAGTACACACCAATAGCCTCGACCTAAGTCTGAGCGATCTGCAACCAGAAACTGTCACGGAAGCCGCCACCTCAACACCTGTATCTCCCCTTGGGCAAGAAAATATCCTACTGCCAAACACAAGCATTCGTATTTCAGTGAGATTTGATAACACCAAGAAATAACTCAAAACATCCTCCCCATCCAACTGAAGCATTAAGGTCAATAAGGCTTCAGTGCCTGGAGATGCAATCGTCCAAGGTCTTGCACTCTTCGCGGCTGCAGCCCGCGGTGCCAATGGGGTCTAAAATCACATGCCTGCAGTCGCTATCATTCCTGGCGCCAGCTGGTTTCAGGTCAAAGTCGAGTCTCACTCGTAGAGTTCTATTCACATGTTGTGTTTATGCCAAACGAATATACAGGGCCGAAAGGCCAAAAATGACTCTGTATGTATAATATGTTCTGATCTTATTGCTTTCCTTTAAGAGTTGGCAGATGGGGCAGTTCACTAATTCAGGTGAAGACCCCATGGTTTCGCTTGGAAATCCATTTGCCATCATTTGCCAATCACACTGACGATGTGACAAACACGTTTTCTACATGGTGCAGCAAACGTAGCTTTTGCAAGGCGGCCTATAGCTGGCATCCGGCAGGGCTGGAGGACGTTGATAGCGCCACCAACCGCAATAGTCGACAAAACCGATGCTCTCAGCATTCCTTGGAGCACTGCTCTGGCCAACGTGAACACCTCTTGAAAGGTATAGAGTATAGAGAAGGGTTCGGTTCAGCTGCGTTCCAGGTTCAAAAGGGTGAAACACATTTCCAGCTTCGGTTGGTTTCCGAGCCTTGCAGTTCACCTCTCCAAATGTTTTTTGTTCCATTTTTGCTGTTGTCATAGTCACTTCGACGTAGCAGAGATGGGGAAGTTCCTCTTAGATTCTCAACTGGCATGCATGTGGCAGCTCTGGAGTGCGGAAACCCTGTTCTTGGCTCTGCAAAGGGCCTTGCATGTACGGATTGTTTGAAATCCAGATAGCAGCCTGCAGCAGCATTGTGGCCTGGGGAACTGACTGAAATCCCAGTCTGATCAAATGGAGTATCTACATCCCTGCTTGGTGCTTGCTCAGGCGTGGCATCACCTCTGACACCAAAGCGCTGCCGCTCTGAATGAACCATTATGAACCATGTTTCAGCCAAGAATCTGCAAAAGCCATTGGGTGTCTCCAGAGAGGCACAACGCCTGCGGTATACCCACCTGCCAGAGCACTCTTCCCAGAGTGGCAACCCAAATGTAGCTGGAGTTGAAGGTTCTCAACCATGGGTAGGTCGGGGGACACAACGGAATACAACGAGAGGTTAAGATTCCACTCAGACCACCTTTGGGGATCAAGCGCCCGAAATCTTGAGTGTGGCTCTAGGTACAAACACCAGGTTGACCGTCTGGTCACAACATGCGGACAACTCGGATGACCCAGTAACACACTCGCTGCGCACAATTGTTTAATTTGACAGCGTTCTTTAAAGCTAGAACGAAATTGGATGTTGACTGATATTGATATCGCTGAATCATTTGACTGTGAGGTGAAACACCAGGACCCTGGTTGACCGACCCACTACACACGTGATCCATGAAGTCGCTACTCAAGACCCTTGAGTTCAACTGGGTGTTTGCGCAATCACGACCTGAAAATAGTGCACAACAACTACTGTATATTTATAATATACATGTGGAACCAAAAGAACAGCTTGCAAATAACATTACACAAGAAAAATAGCAAAAAAGGCATGGACTAAGTAAAAACAAAAGATAAGTACAACAAAAAGAAAACACAGGCCGGGAAGGGGATCCAAGCATGAAAACATATCGGTACCCCATCCAATCTACGACATACAGCGATAAAATTGCATAAACAATACATAATAGACAAGAGACCCTCTTTTCAGTATCTGGAAACTCTGGCTGCCAAGAACCCACGGTAGCCGCAATAGGATCGATGCGCTCGACCACATGGATCTAAGGCATCCTTGCTGGACTACTGTTGAAGGAAAGGCTGCAACACCTTCATTATGTGTCGCACTAGATAACTAGATCAATCACTAACTTATAAGGGAAATCCAACATCGTAGAACACAACCTGGGTGTACAAAGGAAACTCATCATTCCAGGAGTCCCTCAGGGGCTACTTGTCATTCCGTGAGTCGGAGTGCCTTCCAGATGCGTTCTATCCCTTCCCTCATCTTCTGCCTAGCCAACGACTCAGAGTCGACAGCCTGGGAATGGCAAGTTTCGTTGGTCCGCTCAGCCTTGCCGGCCTCAAACAGACTGGCGTGACGACGCGGCGGCAGTGTTATAGCTGAGGCACAGTCCGAATGATTGCTCAAAGTTCAGGAGATTCAAGGACAAACTAAGTTTGATATGGACACGCAATTACACAAGGGGATCGATGCGCCTGTGGCCTACAGCATGAAGCTCGTGGAGGACAACCTAAATGGGAACTATGAGCTGGATGAGATGGCGGACGAGACGAAAGCCCAGGCCATTCGCCTCTACAGCCTGCTGATCCCCTACCTCCGCAACCGACCCTTGAAGCTGGTGCGGCACATGAAGTTGTTTCACTCATGTTTCACTCTCTGGATCATGCTGGTCGGGTCAGGTGATACCTAGCTGCATTTCACTGAGTACCAAACAAAATTCGAGTGATTTGCTACAATTGGGATGAATTCAGTGGATCGGGTCTCCCGACATTTCTCAGTATAGCCAGGAGTGGCCGGGTAAATTGGATCTCAATACCTGTGGACCGACTCATCCAAATCTGAAGTTCTGTAGAGCCTCAAAGTAGGCTTTAAGAATGAGTGCAGTACTGCAGCAAATTGTCCACACCTATGTCCCTTCCTTGGCCCCCGGAAAATGGATTAAGGGTTGGACCACAAAGTCAACTCGGATCCACTTAACTCCGGGGAAGGTCGGAACTTGGAATTAATATTTTGTCTGCAACCCAAACGATGGTTCTAAAGGTTCACTTAAAGGTTCACATTACAGAATGAATCTATGCATGAGCGCACCTCTCCAAACCAACTTGTTAGAAAGGACCATAGACTAGTAACAAGTGCGCCGCTACTAGTAACAAGGGCATCACTATATACTAGTAGCTAGAAGCTACTACGCAGTGACAAGGGCATCGCTACTACACATGACTAGAACAAACTCCCCGAGCCAGCGGGAGACGCTGAAAATCCACCATCCGTGCCACTGGCACCCCTTGACTCCCTCCGCCCGATCGCCTCACAATAGCATTTGACCAAGGCAGAGCTGCTGGGACATTGAAGGTCTTCATTGATTTTGCCTGCAAAGATGATCTATGCAAGATTATCTCTTGATTCTGGAAAAACAACAAAAACAAGATTTGCATTGAGATGTTCTGTGGTGTTTAAAAGGTTTTGGCTTGCGTGCTGGTCGACTTCGTGGTGAGGGATCACTAGAGTCACTAGAGAGCTATGAACGTTGAAAAGGAAAAGCCGCTGGTGACCCACTAGAGTCACCAGAGTCAGAGTACGAGGCGGTTGCTTCTAGGTTGGAGGCAATCGCTAGTAGGTTGGAGGCCATCGCTATGGGTTTACGATACCCTCCCGCGAACAAACATGGAACCTGAGAATTGACCGGTGGAAGGCCAATTTTCTCTACAACCCAGTGGTTGCCAGTGGTTTGCGGGTTCCACGTGATTCATTGTGTACGGGGATACCCCAAGGCATTGAATGTGAAGCCCTTGCGTCTGTCTCAACAGCCAGCATCTATAGAGTCGAAAGTTTTGCCATCCCTCATGGCTCATAGTGGATAGCTGGGGCCGGGGCTAAGGATTGAACACTTGCTCCTAGTAGCGATGCCAGGAGCCCCTAGTAGCTTCTTGTTCCTAGTAGCGATGCCAGGAGCCCATAGTAGCCTCTTGTTCCTAGTAGCGATGCCAGGAGCCTCTAGTAGCTTCTTGTTCCTAGCAGCGATGCCAGGAGCCCCTAGTAGCTTCTTGTTCCCAGTACGGATGCCAGGAGCCCATAGTAGCTTCTTGTTCCTAGTAGCGATGCCAGGAGCCCATAGTAGCTTCTTGTTCCTAGTAGCGATGCCAGGAGCCCCTAGTTGCTTCTATTTCCTAGTAGCGATGCCAGGAGCCCCTAGTGGCTTCTTGTTCCTAGTAGCGATGCCAGAAGCCCATAATAGCTTCTTGTGCCTAGTAGCGATGCCAGGAGCCCATAGTAGCTTCTTGTTCCTAGTAGCAAAGCCAGGAGCCCATAGTAGCTTCTTGTTCCTAGTAGCGATGCCAGGAGCCCCTAGTAGCTTCTTGTTCCTAGTAGCGATGCCAGGAGCCCCTAGTAGCTTCTTGTTCCTAGTAGCGATGCCAGAAGCCCCTAGTAGCTTCTTGTTCCTAGTTTTGATGCCAGGAGCCCATAGTAGCTTCTTGTTCCTAGTAGCAATGCCAGGAGCCCCTAGTAGCTTCTTGTTCCTAGTAGCGATTCCAGGGGCCCCTAGAAGCTTCTTGTTCCTAGTAGCGATGCCAGGAGCCCCTAGTAGCTTCTTGTTCCTAGTTTTGATGCCAGGAGCCCATAGTAGCTTCTTGTTCCTAGTAGCAATGCCAGGAGCCCCTAGCAGCGTCCTAACACTGGCTTCATGTAAAATCGAACAGTAGCACAACTGACTTTATCTTTCGACGGCGAGCGAAATGTCACCAGTGAAAAATCTGCCCCACATCCTGGGTAGTTCGGATAGGACTTTCAGATCGGCCGAAACTGAGACCTGCCTGCCACTGTGAAGGTTTGGAACATGCTGGTGCAAGCGACCTTGACTTGGATCCTCAGTCGAGATGACGTAATGGAGATTTGTTTCGTGCAGGGTCTTCACCTGATGAATTATGGGCACCTCTGCGTTATAGTTATATATATAGTTATTGCGCATAATTCACCAACATGGTTTTGTTGATCATTTTATATAATTTCCCATGCCGCTATTTATGCCTCAAGGGTTGGTTGAATGCAACCTAGGAGCTCTTCTTCCGAGAATGCCACACATGCGCCATCCTTGAACCATGCATCGCCTGGTTGCACGGAAACCCGACATAAACTTCTCGAACAACTCATTGACCCAGTTTAGCCTGATCAACATGGTTTGCCATTGCCGAGCTACACCGCTGAAACCGGCCACATCCAACAATCAAAGGTGTCTAGTAACAAAGGTTATCACTACTAGGAGCAAGGACGTTACTAGGGGCTCCTGGTCTTACTACTAGGAACAAGAAGCTACTAGGGGCTCCTGGCATCGCTACTAGGAGCAAGAATGCTACTAGGGGCTTAGTGGATTGGGCAGCCTTTGATCGGTAAGTTGGCCAGTCGCATGCAATGGAAGCAGTTTCGTGAAATTCTTTGCTTCAGGGCAACTTACTAAGTGCATGGGACTCCAATAAATTGTGGGAAGAAAACAACATGCTTTTTATATATCAGCCTTGAGAAACCAACCCACCCACGACGCGCAAGCCAAGGTTTTGCAGCGCAATTTTGTCAAGTTCTTTGTGAGGCCCTGTCAAGACGAGGAGACCGACTGCAGAATCCTCTAGACTTTAAACACTTCTTGCCTCTGCCCAGCCGGTTCCCGGAACCCAATCAGTCAGCATTTCGTCAATCCCCACCTGGAGAAATGGATCAGCCTCTCTGTTTCAGGGCATCACTCTTGTGAGCTGCTTCCCTGACACTCTGGGTTTCCCCATTGGGCCTCGCTACTAGGAGCAAGGAGGCTACTAGTAGCTCCTGGCCTTAGTACTAGTAACAAGGACGCCACTAGGAGCAAAGGGCGTCGCTACTAGGAACAAGGACGCTACAAGAATACCCGAAAAGTCAGATCGCTAATCATTTCTCGACTTCCATGGGGTTGAAGCCAATGCCTTCATCCGCTTTTGCAGTGAACTGCGGCTGGTGGCCTTGTGGAAAGCTTTCACACGCCACCGGCCAGGTCTCCTCTGGACAGGTGGCTGTCACCTGTCGACGAGGCTGGGAGAGCTGGTAGGGACGGAGAAGGGCGAAGTCGCGGCGAAGTCTTCAGGAAAACTCCCCTGCCTCACGGCAGGCGAAGGGTGCAATTTGGATGTCTTTGGCATGGTTCCATATGTTTTCCACATGCATTCAAGGAATTCAAGGCGGTATTAACATTATGTAAACTATTGTAAACTCGAGTCACACAGATTCACTGAGGATCCAAACAATGCCACCTTGTGGATGGAATTGCAAAGGGACTGGACTGTCCAAAAGTTACCTCTGAAAGTGAACCAGATTTGCCATCTCGGCAACGGCCTTTCTCTCGCATAGTATGTTCCTGCTTTGGCATATGGCCCATATGGTCCGTATGATAATGGCTATACAATTGGTTCGTTGTTGCTTGTGGTAGCTTAAGAGGGAAGAGACACAAAAATTGTTGTTGTTGTTGTTGCTGTTGTCAGTGAATTTCGATGGTCAGCTTGGGATGAACGACTTCCGACTGGGTCCAAAAATATTAAAGTGCATCGGATGGGCGTCTTGGTCTGTCGCTGGTCCAACAGAACCTGTCACGTCTGTGTCTTCATCCAAAGAGCTAGCGAAAGTCTACGAATGGTCATGCATAACCGTGCATATCTTTGCATCGTTACCATGCGAGTTCACAAGGGTTTGCCCAAGCAAATGGGAAGATCTCCCGTGTTCAACGAGTCGGATTTTCTGGGGGGCATTTCATGTCAGCAGAGTTCAAGCATGTGAACAGAGTTTCATCCAGCGACCCAGTTGTTTGTTGTTGTGTTTGTCGAAAACATTGCCCACACAAGCCAGTTTGGTTTCGGAGAATTACACCAAATCCTTTCCCTACATCGGCCCACCTTCCGTCAAATGACCTCTTGCATGTCCGGCCTTCTCAAAGAGGCCATTACTAGGCCATGACATGCCATGTTCTTCTTTTTCAACCCTGCTGGGCTGCTGGATCCCGAACCTCGCCTGGCTGCCGAAACCACTCTCAACCTAGGGGGTCTTCAGAGCACAGCTCTGGGCATTGAGCTACGGCTACTTAGACGATGCAATTTCACTTGGTAACGGACCAACGCAACTTCCCCATATATAACTCCAAAACTTCTTTGAGTTCACCATCCAAACAACTTTAATTGAGCGCTTCGCACAAAGGTTGGAACTGTTGAGCCCAGAACTTCAGCCGCAGCCTAGGCTTTGGGATAAAGACTTCAAGCACCATTGGTTTCTGAATGTTTCTCAGGTGCCAAGGCACAATGGTAAGGCGCGTCCAGCTGAAGACCACGCTAGGAAGAAGCAGAACGGCCGTTCGGCGCATGCTCTGCATGGGGCATGGCACGCATGGTGCATGATGATCTTGATTCAGCCAGCAAAGATCTATATTGCCCAAGAGGCAGCATATATGGGGCTTAAACATGTAAATGTATATAGTTATCTCTTCATGTCTGATCCTGATGCAGCAGCGTTCTTGGACCTTTGATATCCATAGAAACTCAGACTTCTTCCTGCACTTTTTTGATTTCCCACAAAAGCAGTTGGTGATCCCATGGCTTTATCGGTGTTCACCATCAAACACAATGAAGTAGCTGATAGTACTGTTAGTCTCACCACAAAATCCGGTTTCCCCAACTCTAAATGCAGCACATTTTGGCTGGTAGCTGCCTCACTTGTGGTTGATGACACCAAATGTAGCGTTGCCATACGTTGCCTATACAGCAAGCAATGGAGATTCTATGAGATTCTACACAGCGACACATTCTTGCCAATGTACAAAGAGAACTGCATGGAGAGATGCATGTACACCACTAGAAGCAGCATATCAGAATCTTGTAAGGGCAGGGGTGGAAGTGTGCGCAAGCATGCAAGACTCCAGAATCTCGTGGGGAGCCTTGCCACATTTACTCAGGAACCCTTAGCTTTTGACAATCTCCATGAATTTGCCACGGCTCTTGAGAGTCTCAGTGGAGGCCATTGCTATTAGGATGGAGGCCATCGCAAGAGGAAAGAGTACTGTCGCTGGAGACTCAGCAAACGCTTCAGACCCTTTTCTCCCGCCGCAAACATGCGCGCGAAGGTCAGGTCCAAACGGAGTCGGTGTCCCGAGCTGTGTCTCCGCAGAGTTCACACCTGGGGCCAGAACTAGTCCACAAATCTGGCTGCAGAGTTCACTACGGGCAACATCCATAAGATGAAGAGGCAAACAAATCTTATTAAAATTCAACACTACGTGAGAAAGCCATCCTGTTCAAGCGAAAACATCCTGCACAACCAAGTTGGAAGATACAACGTGAGCATACGCAATGCAGTGAGTTTAAGGTCCCAGTTAGGTGCAAGGGTTCTTCCTTCGACACCCGGAGAATTTGAAAGAACACGGACAAATTGGACAAATCCTGCCATTCCGAATTTCAACGCATCCGACTTTGCTTCCGACTTCTTGTGGTTTGTCGCTCGAAGCAACGGCGCAATCGACGGTGCCTTGGTGGGCACGCAAGGCACCTGATGTTTCCTAAGGCGGAGGCGTGCAAGGCACCGGATGGACTTGCATCGGCAAAGCCCATGGAGCTTCTCCAGCAAACCTAAACACCAAACTGCGTAACGGAAAAATATATATATATACCTAGTTCTTCAAAGTTGCCTCTTGATAACCTGGTTTGAGGTCACTTAAGCCTCCGAAGGGTCACTTAGGAACCTTCGAAAGGTCACTTTGAAGAAGCTGGTATATCAGTATAATATCTGGAGTGCTTCCTGCCAGTGATTAATTTTGAAGAGTTTGTGTCTTTTCTCTTTAAAACCGTAGGTTTCACAAAACTGTCTACAGGTTTCTGTGGATCTCAGTTCCTGATAGTTCCTGTACATCCCACCAATAACACAGGAGCCTTGAAACCCGTCAATCTTTAACAGGTAGTGACATCGAGAGGCAGCCCGTGTGCAGCAAAAAAGGTGGATGGCATGGGATGGCTTGGAATTTGTAGTGGTTTGCAACACCTCATAATGCAGTAAGGGGCCACCAAAATTTAGATTCCTGTAAAGCAAACATGGCCCCATAAGGGTGTGATAGAGCGTATAATATTCAAATACGGGCCAGGCACACCTGCTTGGCCCTGTGAGTCGCTTGTTCAGTTCACGATGAACAGCCGGCCATGCTGACCGCAGCCTTTTGTTGCCAACATGGATCGCACCAGACCAACAGCCCCTGAGGCCATTGCTATTAGTTAAGTTTCCCTAAAAGTCTAGGAACCAAATGAATAGTGCGAGCACTTCTTCAAGGAAGCGTGAGCTATCCTGCATCCATACTAGTAGCTTAAGGAAGCTACTAGCTACCTCTCCCTTACTTAATTAAGTAGGCGCCTACTTGATTAAGTAGGGAGGGGGGGAGCGGGCTAAAAAAGATACAAACCCAAAAGATCAAACCCACTACACGTCCACTTCGAAGAGCGAAGCGGGGGCACTTGAACACCATGTTTGATCGAATTCTGAGAGAAACGGGGTATCCCCTGGTCAACATAGTAAGGAACGTAACATGAACGTCATGAACATGGGGATTGTGTCAGCATTTCACACAAAAGCTAGGCCCTCTCGGAGGGCATGCAAATGCATTGTTCGGATGGGATGGGATCAGCGACTGCTGGCAGTCAACCAACTACTGTTCCACACAGGTACTCACACAGGTCTCCAGCTCTCTGATGCAAATCCTCCAAAAAAAAACAAGAAGCTACTAGGAACAAGTGCATCGCTACTGGTAACAAGTGCCTTACTAGTAGTAACAATGTTTGCTATTAATGTAATTT